TCCCTGATACCATGGGGAGCTGCAATCCCTGATCCTGCTCAGATCCCACGGGGAGCTGCACTCCCTGATCCTGCCCTGGACCAGGACCCCACAGAGCTGCAACCTTTGACTGAAGACAGAAAACCAGCAGGATGGGATTCACAGGCTGGAGCTGTAATTGACAATTAACCCCAATATGCAAATGGACCGGAACTCATGAAAGTGAGAGACCCCATGACCAGCTGTCCATTTTTGTGACCATTTTGGGTGCAGCCCTGGCTGGGCTCTTGTGCTGCCCAAGTTGGATCCATTGAGGCCTCCTAATAAATCCCTGCTTTATTCTTGAGCTCAGTCCAGTCCCTGTTCTAGCTCAGCCTTCTCAAAGCATCATTTTTGGTCAGACCAGACCAAAACCAAACCTTTATTTTAGGCATTTTCTAATCCTTTGACCATCCCATCACCTGCCCAGCTTTCACCAGGCCGACAGACAGAGCAGCTGCCCCGTGACTCAGAGCTGCTTTTAAACCATTCCATTCCCTCCAAGCAGCTCCAAACGACAGCAATTCAAACCCCATTTGCAGCCCGAACCCGAGGCAGGCTCTGCTCAAGCACCACAAAGCTTTTCCCAACAAACCACGGGGGAAAAATAAAAAAAAAAAAAAGAAAAAAACTAAAATCACCCCCGGAGTGCTGAGCCAAGCTGGTGCACGCTCAGGTTTAAAAATGCTCCGAGCATCTGCTTTGTGCAAACTCCTGCTGTCCGCCCTCACGGCATCGCTGCAGGCTGCTGGGAGCTCTCTGCACTGCCAGGAGCTCCCTGGGCACTTCCAGCCAGCCCTCAGCATTCCCAAATCCTCTCTGTCATCTTCCCAAACTCCTGCAATTCCATGTGCTCCCAGCTGCTCTTCCAGCTGAAGTTTTGGGTTTCAGTGTATTTTTTCCCTTTCCTCTTGTTTTCCTATTCTAACACAAATGCTGTAACTGCTTTTTTTTAATAGAAAAAAATCATATTTTACATTTCCAAACCAGCGGAAGAGCCCCAAAACCCCTGTGAGTACCCCCAAAATGTAATGAGCTACACCAGTCACTGGTGTAAATTACAAAACACAGAATGCAAAACTATAGGAATTAGAGCAAAAAAAATCTTTTTTTTTTCTTGTTTATTCAAGAACAGGACATTTTGATCTATTTTTCCTCTAGAAAAATGTCTCACAGGGCAAATCTGCAACACTAAAAGCAGCATCAGGCATCAAATAAATGTTTAACCTGGAGTGAGAATAAATTGCCATGAAAATATTATTATTATTATTATTAGAATTATTATTATTAGAATTATTATTTTAATAATAATTATTATTATTATTTGAATTATTGGATATTGGATTTTATAGAGCTTTAACAGCCAAGCTCTGTCCTCCAGCTTTACAGAAGTCAGGATTTGTAATTTGGAATTAACTGGGGAAAAAAATCACTGTATTTATTTATTCCCAAATATTCCTGTTTTGAGGAGTTTGAACACACAAAGTCCATCCTTTAAACATCCAAAGGATCAGACTGTGCAATCCCACGCCAGCCAGCGAAATTCCAACCTCCAGAAACAAGAAATCTGCTGGGAAACTTTGAAAAAATGGCAAAAAGGGCTTGGGGTAAGGCAGACCCAAGCTGTGAGGGCTCCCTGTGCTTTAATCAAAACCAAACTTTAGAGGAACTGGAATTGTCCTGATTAGAGAAAAATACCCCCAAAAAATAAAACCTCACTACTGGAGCCACGTGCAGCAAGTGTGTGAATTTCAGGAGCTGCAGTAATGACCAAAAAGAAAATAAAATAATGAAATAAAATAAAATAAAATAATGAAATAAAATTCATGATGGGCTCGAGGGTGACAAAGCCACCCTGGGCTGGGGACCTAAAGCAGCAGAAATAGGGGAGATCCTGCATTGAGGAGGAGGAGGAGGAGGAGCAGAAGAAGAGAACTTTGAACGTTCTCCTCAGTGCTCAGCCCACACTCAGGCTCCAAAAATGCTCACATTTATCTGGGCAGCAGGAACAGGCACAGCACAGCTCAGGTGCTGAGGAATGAATGAGGCTCAGTGGGCACAAACAGGGATAAAAGCAAAGTTTTTCACTGGCTCCTTCAAGAAGAAATTCATTTTCAGCATGCAGGATTAGCTGAGGTAATTTTCCTAATTTTATGGTCACTTTTATGTCAGCAGAAAATCCATATTCTGGTTTTGGCCAGCTGCTTCCTTCTCCATGCATGCAGAGGATGAACTAAACAAGCACCACCTGAATTTATTTGGTTTTATTATCCCTCATGCCCAAGCAATTTTAGGGTTTAGAATTCTCTGCCCTTTAGGGCACAACTTGCCAGTTTGCTCCCACTCCAACTCTTGTATTGATGTGCTAAAAAACCCCTGCAGATTGCCCAGATTGGGGCAGCCAAAGCAGCAATTTTAGAGAATAAAATAACCTTTAAATCCCAGCCACTCTGGGGTGGAATTATCACTGCACTGAAGCCTATGGTTTTCCAGCTGCTTGTTTGGAAATAAAGATATTTTAAAGGTGAAACAATGATGGAAAAATCACATTTTCCTCTCCTCCATGCTTGGAAGCATTAAAGTGATTTTCCAACTTAGAAAGTGCAGGTTAAACACAGATATTCCTGACTGGCTTTTTCCAGCTCTTCCTCCTCATCTTCCCCATCTCTCCCCCAGTTCCATCAGAATCTGCTCTGGATGTAAGCCATAAGCAGAAACTGATCATTTTCCCAGCAAAATATTCAGGAAAAGTTCAATTCCTGCCACATTTCCCTGAGATTTTAAGGTGTTGATGCAAGAGCTTTCAAAATAAAGCCACCCGAAAAAATAAAACCCTCAAAATAAAAACCTCTCAAAATAAAACCTTTTAAAATAAAACCTTCATCCCAGTTTTAGCAAGATTAAATGCATAGGTCAGCCTGACTCTAAATATTCTGGGTTGCATTAAAATCTGGGAAAATTACTGGGAAAAAAGCTTTTTTTCCCCACCAACACTCAGCATTCCAGCGGGGATTTTCTGCTCCAGGTGAGTTCCACAGGTCCGTGGCCATTCCTTCACCACCCTGACTCGGACTATTCACCTTTCATCGCTCTGATGGCGCCACACCAGATAACAAATCGCTGCCCTTTGGGATCCTCCCTGCCCCTTCCCAGCACACACCCACAGGTGAGAAGCTGTTTCTGAAGGAATATGCACAATTCAGGAAAGGCTGGACCTGCTCTCCACCCACAGAAGAATTGTTCTGTTTCAGGAAGCTCCTCACGGGCCATTATTTGCTGAAGAAAGCCCAGTTCCTCTGCAGCAGGGCCTTTTCACATTAAAAATGGAGCAGCAATAAACCGTAAATCACAAAGATCTCAACCTTTGCTTGGCTTGGGCTGCTCCACCCCTTCCCAAGCAGATTTCCACTCACCTGTGTGAGCTCCCACAGCGTTACAGACACTCCGAGTGTCACTCAGCACTTCATTAAAATCACAATTAATCAGCTTCCAGGACACACTGCAATCTCCCTCACACCAAGCTCACTTTGGTGGGGACAAAGCCCCTTTCCAGCTCTCCCCAAAATTCTGTTTATCACTGACCTGCAGAGTCCCCAGTGCTGCCAAATGTTTGCAGTGTCCCGCAGCCACGCGGGATTGTCACCGCAGCTGCTGGCACCTGACACCTGCCCTGCACGAACACACGGCCCATTTCCATTTAACTCCTTCCCTCCCACGGCTGGAATTGCTCTGGGAGCTCAGCAGTGCCAAGGCGGAGCACAGAACCACATTTAATCCACAGCTCAGCCCCATTCCCGGATCCCTAAATCCCAGCCAGCTCTAGCACGGTGTTCCCAGGCTGCCTCACTCTGCAGAGAGCCTCCGGTTTTCATTCACAGCGCCAATGCCAAACTCTGCTTAACACACACAGAGCTCACTGCTGGCTTCACGCTGCAAAATCTGCACGTGCTCGGGGAATAACTCTCACCTGGGATCTTTAGGACGGCATTTTTCCCATCTGGATAGCACTGTCAAACACCCTGAGAGCCCTAATGGGGGCCTGGTGGAATGGGGTGGGCTCTAAGGTCCCTTCCAACCCAAAGCAGAATGTAAGATTCCACATTCCTGCGATTCCAGGATTCCCCTGGAGCAAAGAGCCAAGGCGAAATTCCCCTCAACAGCCGGGAAACCCTAGGACTGAACATTATCTGCAGAGCAGAAAGGAAGGAGCGAGAAAGGAGGCTGAAATGATGAAACCAGGGTGGGATCGGTGTATGAGAGAGGCAGCCCTTCCTCGTGGGCAGGATCCTCCCGCAGGCCGAGCTCCCTGCCTGCCCTTGCCGGCTCTCCAGGCCGGGCAGCGCTGCCCACGATGCTGCACCGGGAGCACAGAGCGCTGCCCGGCCTGGCAGCAGCAAACGGGCATTTTCCTCGGCGCTGCGGGATTTCCTTGGAGCGGGAGGCTCGGCTGGAGCAGCCTCTTGGCCCCGCTCCGCTGTGCCACTAATTGTCATGCACTTGGCTGCGAACTCGCCGGGGAGGAGGCAGCCGCGCTGGATTTAGCTCACGCTAGCCTACAAGGAGCGGTGAAGGCTTGGGGTGTGGTGGGTTGGTTGTTCCTTCTTTTTTTTTTTTTTTTTCCCCCTTAATTCCTTCTTTTACTCTCCTATCAGAAGGACCTCTCCAGTTGCTAAGGAACTACGGGCTTTATTGCATTATAAATGATTTAAGGCGGCCCGGCAGATGCAGGTTCAGTAGGCGGGAGGAGATGAGGAGATGTTCCATTTTACCGGCGGCACCAGGCTCCTCGGGAGGAGCCGGGGGGGCCGAGCCTGTCCCCCCCCTTTTCTCCTCCTTCCCCCTTCCCCTGAGGGGCCCCAAATCCACAGGGATTTCCCCCAAAGCCGGGGTCGCCCCCACCCGCGGGGTTGCCCACAGCGCACCCGCCGCCATAGCAACGCGCCCCCCCCGCTCCCCCCGCCGCCACCGCCGCCCTCCCTCACCGTTCTGCGCCGCGGCGGGTCCCGGCAGCAGCGCGGCCGTCGCCAGCAGGAGCGAGAAGGCGGCGGGGAGCGGCCCGGAGCGCGGCATCTTCCTGAGGCAGGGGCAGGAGGAAGAGGAGGAGGAGGAAGGCGAGGAGGCTGAGGCGGCGGCGGGAGCGGCGGCGGCTCCGTCCGTCCTTCTCCGCCGACCTCCTACCGCAGCGCAGCGCCCGCTCTCGCGAGATCCGCCGGGGGCGGGGGGCGACGCCGCCGGGGAGGGGAGGGGAGGGGAGGGGAGGGGACGAGGCGGGGGGGCGGTGTCAGCGCCCGCCTCGCCCGCCCCTCGCCGCCATGTTGGCCCCGTTCGGCCCGGTCCGTTCAGCGTCGCCGCTTCCCCTGTCCCAGGGCTTCTCCTCCTTGCCTAGCTCCCGAGCTGGCAGCGGGACAGGGACGCCCAGGCGGCGGGGAGCTGCCCCTTGCTCTTTCTGCCGTGCCCTCAGGGGCGCCATGGCGGAGGCTGCCTGAGGCAGCCGTTCCTCGGGCACAATGGCGGAGCCCGCCTGAGGGAACCGTCCCTTCAGAGGGCCGATGGCGGAACTCGCCTGAGGGAACCCTCCCTTCAGATTTACCATGGTGGAGCTCACTTGAGGCAGCTTCCCGTGAGGAGCGTTGAGAGCGGAATGGCGTAGCCCCTTCTCAGGGATCTGTCCCCTCAGAAACACCATGGCAGAACCTGCCCACCTCATGGAATCTGTCCCCTCAGGGGCACTGAGGGCTGCCATGGTGAAGCCTTTCCTCAGCAATTCGTCTCTTCAGGGACACCATGGTGGAGCTCTGAGGGATCTGTTCCCATGGAAGCACTGAGGATGTGATGGCAGTGACCCTTTTGAGGGCACCTTCCCCTCAGGGCAGTATGGTGGAGCCCCTACTCTGGGACACCATGGCAGAACCTGCCTGAGGCATCCATCCCCTCAGGGGCACTGAGGGTACGATGGCATGGTAAGGTGCTGCCTGAGGGATCCATCCCTGCTGTTGCCATGTTGAAGCCTGGAAGCCTGGCTGAGGCATCCTCCCCTCAGGGGCACTGAGGGCAAGATGGCGGAGCCCTCCTGAGGGATCAGTCCCTGCAAGCACCATGGCAAAGCCCACCTGAGGGATCCATCCCCTCAAGGGCAAAAATGGCACCATGGCAGAGCCCACCTGAGGCAGCCTCCCCTCAAGGCTGCCATGGCAGTGCCCACCTGAGGGATCCATCCCCTCAGGAGCTGCCATGGCAGAGCCTGCCTGAGGCAGCCTCCCCTCAGTGGCACAGATGGCAGAGCCCACCTGAGAGATCCATCCCCACAGGGCCACCATGGTGGAGCACACCTGAGGCAGCCTCCCCTCAGGGCCGCCATGGTAGAGCCGGCCTGAGGGATCCATCCCCTCAGGGCCGCCATAACAGTGCCTGCCTGAGGGATCCATCCCCTCAGGGCCGCCATGGCAGAGCCCCTCTGGCTGGGATGTGAGAAGCACCACACTCCTCCTCACTTCTGTTCTTCATTGCCTTAAAACACTGTTCAGTACAAGGCAAGAGCTGGTATTTGGCTCTGTTCATACTCACTTCAGGAGTTTCTGTGCTGTCCTGCAGGGGCCACAATGTGTCAGAAGAACCCAATTCCACCCCAAATTGTTCAGCTTAAGGTCCATGCACCCACAAAACACCAATATCAATTTAAACACCATTCTATCCATCTGTGCTTCCACACAAAAGATTTTTCAAGGGCTGTGTCATTTTTGCACAAATAGGAAACCGAGGCCGCATGAAGCAAAGGTGTTTGCTCCATGTTAGCAGTGGAGTTGTGGGCAAAGAGTACAAAAACTCTCTCATGGATGACTGGACAAGCCAGGCATGCTGGAAACTGGCTGTTGGTGAGCTTTGGGCGGCTTTTCTCTATTTTCCTGTCATAAATCACAGATGCCAGGTCAGATTTGCTGGTTGCTTTTGCTTTGTTCTGAGCTCAGCTGATGGTGGGGAGATATGAGGATTGTAGGAGATTGTGGGACAGACCAGCAGAGAAGGAGACTGGGGAAAAACCAGCAGAAAATCCTCCAGATCAGATTTTCAGCTTTCTGCAGAGCCCAGCGTCACCAGCATGCCCATAGTGGGGTGGGCTGGGAAATAATGGGTAGTGACATCCCAAATCTTGACTTTGTGTCCCTCCTCCTTCACCCTGCCCAGGTCAGTCTCAGCTGATCATCAGCAAACAGACTCCACCATGTCCTTTTGCTGCTGCTGTGACTCACTGCAAGCGAGGATCAGGCACACCTTTTCCATGAAAACCCTGCTGAAATCCCTGCCTGGGCACTTCAGGCCTTGGCTGAGGATGGCAGGGGAGAGGCCACATGTGAGGAGCAGCAGTTTTTGGCCATGTGCTGGTGCTCCACGTCATCTTGGCTGCCCCTGGCTCCCCAGGGATGCCAGGTTTGATGTGCCTCAGAGATTCCACTGCGCTGGAGAATTTCCACGGTGCATTTCCATGACTCACTGTTGGTGCCAGCTGATTCATCTGTGTGACACTACTCTGCTTTTTCTCACCGTGGCGTGGAAACATCCTCTTTTTTTCCTTTCTGTGTGGAACAATCCCGACAGCAGCCCTTGCAAACCAGACAAAAAGGGGAACAGAGACCCAGAAATCCAGTTTTACACACCACTGCCCCTCTCACTGCTCTTTGCACTGTTTTCCCAGGATTTTGCTGTAACTCTGCTCCTTGCAGACACCCACTCTGTATTAGGCCTTACCTCCAGTGCCTGTTTTCCAAGTTTGGAAGGAGTGAGCGCTGGGAGCAGGCTCTGGATCTGCTCAGCAATCCTTGCTCCGTAACCATGGCAGCTCAGGGTGACTCACGCTGCCACAGGCCCGAGCCCAACTTAGCAGGAGGAATTTCCCCCCCCCCCCCTCTGTCACCAGCTCGGAGTTTCTCTCCACAGTTGCATAACTCAGCTGTCACTTGTGTTCCTCTGGTTCTGCTCTGCTGTCACCTGGAGCATCCCTGGAAGGTGTCCATTGGAGGTTGTTCCCCAGGCAAGGAATGAAAGCTCTGCACGAAGCTGAGCTATGGATTTGTGATCATACACCACAAGAAACCAGAGCAGAAAGTCCCCATGGCCAGGAGATATCCTCATGGGTCTGATCCCGAGTCTCTTGGAGCACAGAGTTCCTAAACTTCCCTAAAATTTATAAAAAGTACTCAGGTATCCAGCCATATCAACTGTGGCAGAAAAAAAAGGTCTTGTGTCCCATGGATGAGGGAATCCTCTTAAAACTGGAGTTCTTCAGGAAAAGGGGATTTGCCAGCCCTAGATCCACCACGGTAGCTCAGGAGTGAGGAAAACGCTGGGATTCCAGCAGATGGAGCCTGAGCAGGGTGATGTGTTTGCCTGGTGTGGGGATGGTGATTCCTGACCTCAGGAATGCCAGAGAAAACTCGGTTTTCTGCAAAGTTGCCTAATCCCTGCAATTTCTCATATTTTCACCTGGGGGGTGTCTCAATTCTGATTATTCTCTGCTTATTCCTTCAGAACGAGGAAGACAGAAAATCTTGGAAGCCAGACAAGCAAAGAGGAAGCAATAAAACCCTGTAATCAGCAGGAAATTCAGGAGAGTTTCAATTCTGATAGAGCAGCAAAGAGGCATCATCCTTATTTTGTGGGGGAATTTGGAGCTTGTCTTCTTGCAACTGGGAGCGTTTGAGAGATCCCTGTTATTTCCATGTGTTTAGTGATGTGTTTTGGCACTTGAAAGCTTTCACAGGATGGGTTGGGTGGAAAGGATTTCAAAGATCATCTCATTCCACCCCCTGGACCTTTGCACTGCCCCAGGCTGCTCCAAGCCCCGTTAAACCTGGCCTGGGACACTTCCAGGGATCAGCCACAGCTGGGAATTCCATCCCAGAGCCTCCCCACCCTCACAGGGAAGAATTTATTTGCTTTGCCTCACATGGACTCACCTTCTTTTGAATATATTGTGGGCCAGGGCAGAGCACGAAACAGAGTCCAGCACAAAACTCCTCTTTTGCAGCTGCTCTCAGGGCTGAGAAACCCTGGATAACATCAGATAATGCTCCCCCAGGGCCACTTGCCAGGAAAACAGCGATCCCAAAAGGTAACTGCGACCTGATTAATGGCTATTCATCTCCCCAGAGGCACAATGGCAGCTGGAGAACGACATTAACCCCGCGAGATAACATCGGGGTGAGGCTCCACTGAGGCCTCATTCACACCCTGCTGCACAGGTGAGCCCTTCAGTTCTCATCCTAAACAGACAGGAAAAAATTAAAGTGAACAAAACCCGCATGCTATGAAAAATGAGAGAAGGGAGAGCTTGTAAAATCACACAGTGCTGTGCTCTGAGGGAAAAGAGTCAAAGGCAAAGCTGCTCCAAAGAAAAGCCCAAAAAACCAGACCAAAACAAAACAAACAAACAAAAAAAAAAACCAAATGAGAAGAATGGCATAAACAAACAAATTAACCAATTCAAGGTAGGCATAAAAAAATCTAGATGTTCTTTTTGGCTCAGCAGGAAGCTGAGTTTCCATTTCCCAATCCCGTGGGTTATTCCCAGGCAGCTCCCGTGCTCACAGCTCCGTTGGGCAGTGGTCAAACTGGAGCCTGCTTTCCTCCGTGTTTCCTCCCAGCAGAAATGGCTTTCCGTGCAAAACAAACAACGGGTGATTTGGGGCAGGCTGGTTTGGAATGCACACACGGAGGAATCTCAGCAGAGCTGAGATCAGCTGTTAGGACAGAGCTGGAGCTTGCCCGACCTTATTTTCTGCAGAGAAGGAGCGAGAGGGACACAAATCAAACTGCTTTCCCTCCTCCCTCCTCTCTGACCCAGCCCAAAATTATTTGTCTCCATTGCAAATTATTCACCCAGCTGCCACACTGTAATGTTTTTCTCCACCCAGTTTTTTAGGGAATGGGGTCCAACAACTCAGCTATTCCCTGACCTCATTGTTACCCTGAGGGAAGGGATAACTTTTGTTGGGAGCAGCTCCTCCCAGCCACAGGCAGCTTTGCTACACCCCAGCTTGCTCCTGGGTGCCTGTGAGAGTCTCCAGAAAGCACAGAGGGGGGGAAAACTTGGAACATCTGGAGGAATTTTCAGGATGTGGCTGATCCGGCAGGAGCAGACGGCAGGTGGCACCCCTGGATTAGCACAGGGCTGGCTCCAGCCAGGCTGGGCACGGCCTGCAGCTGGGCTACTGTGCAA